CACACAAATCATCAGCCTGGGGGGGGGGGTCTGTAAAGATCATAGTAGAACGAGGAAGCTCTTGTATCCAGGAAATACTTCAGTAGTATGGAGAAGAGCATGCCTTCTACCTCCACCTGTGAGAACTCCCTATATATAAATAGGGGGCCGGATCCCCAATCATCTAAGACAATTTACGGCAGCTGAGGATCAAAGTTGTTTTTAGACAGCAGCATTGTAGCTCTAGGGAAGACTTAACTAAATCCTCTCCAGCCCTCTGCACTAGAATCGCACCCCAAACGCCCCCCGTTGGAGGGTTGAAGTGAGACGTGTGCTGGCCTTCTGCACAAGTTAGACTGCTCCCCTCTGTTGTAGTCTCTTAATTTTGCCATTTTAGGCGGTATAGCTGAGGTGTTCTAAATCTGTGATAACCTAACAGCTGCACCTTTCCTCCAAGCTCTATTCTGTGACAGTGCAGAAAACCAGGCCCCTACTTGTGTTAACATTTCCAGGCTCTTGTTCTGATACAGGCATGGCGAGGGCAGCAGGCTTGAGGACAGCAGTAGAAACCAGAAATTTGTGAATTCCCGTCCCAGCTCAGAGACAGGCCACTGCAAAACATTTCAGATTTCTGCCCTCATATGTATAATAGTGATGATAATAGCAAATGCCAGACTTACGTCCCTATTGCCCCAGGGTTGAGAAGGTTAACTGGTAAATGTTTGTAAAGATGGAATCACTGTATAAATATTATTTATCGTTTGAGTTTGGGGCTCTCATAACCTCTGGATGTGAGTCTTTCCCAGGGGCAGCTCTTTCAAATTACACTACTGCACAGTCAAATAGTAGGGGACATTTTTCAAAGGCACAAAGGAGAATTAAGCTTTCAATGGGAGTTGGGCACTGAACTCTTTTACGCCTTTGATAACTTCCCTCTGTAAGCCTTCCTTAAACAAAGTTACCTCTTGTAGTTAGTAGCATCAGTTTCAAAGCAAGTGGACTCTTTCCTAATGCTTCCCCGCCCAAGCTCTTCCTTAAAATCCTTTAGCAACAAGGTAGTAGCTGTTGATCGTTTAATGCAGTTCCCAGTAGTTATTTTATGTGTCATCCAGGTTTCGAGACCAAGAAGGCCTCAAATACCAAATGCACTAGTGCAGGGATATCAGATGCCTTGGTCCATAAAAAACTCATTAATATGGTCAAGAAAGACATGCTCCAAAGCGAGTGCTAATACAATTTAAACTTCACAGGTCATATGCCAAGTTATATTGGTTGCTTATATGTTCAGTGAATTTTTAGTGGTCAGATGCTACATCCACCCACAGTAATTCCCTGTCACTACCCAGTGCTATTTACGAGTTTTTGTTAGGTCACATTTGACACTGTTTTTTTTTTAACTTATGTGCTGAATGTCATGCGGGAGGGCATATATTGCATTTAAAGAGCATTTGAGCCACTTCTGAAAGTAGCTGATTGCCACTATTAAAGGCTAGTTGCATTTAAATCAATAAGAAAAGGAGTACTTGTGGCACCTTAGAGACTAACCAATTTATTTGAGCATGAGCTTTCGTGAGCTGTAGCTCACGAAAGCTCATGCTCAAATAAATTGGTTAGTCTCTAAGGTGCCACAAGTACTCCTTTTCTTTTTGCAAATACAGACTAACACGGCTGTTCCTCTGAAACCTGTCATTTAAATCAATGTGATCCTGTCTCAGGAGGAAAGGTGACAAAGCCAGGCTTACTTGTGGTCAAACCTTGCAAAGAATTCACACAGTTTCATCCTGTCTCTAGCTTCTGTCTTGCCCTCGTGTGAGACCCAATATAAGGAAGGCAGAGATGGGGAATCCTTCAAGAATGGAAAGTGTTTGAGAGGACTTTTGTTGTCTCAAAAGGATGTGGTCCTAAGTTAATTGCAACCAGCCTGCACACTATTAAATATGGCAGTCCCTATTTCCACTCAGTGCTAACTCATGGTTAACATCGTGTAAGTTAGCACTGGGAAATGATATTCTGTTCTAACACATGTTGATAAGCCAAATTCAGAGGAAAAGCCTGACTCCTACTGGAGCAATAATGTCACGCCCAAGCAGCCAGATTTCCAAGGGCAATTTGGTAGATGCCAAAGTTGTAGTAGTTTTGCTATGATTGATTAGGGAAGCCAAACGACAGGTGCAAAAGTAGAGGCAGTGTGAAAATATAGGCCTAAAGTTACTCAGCTCAGCCTTTGTATACAGCTCGGAGCAAGTAGAACAGAGTGTCTTTTCTCTCTGGCCTGCTGGGCCTTTGGAGGTGGAGGTGACATCACTGAAAAGTTCTCATCCTGGGAGCTGTCAAGGTCTGCCCCAAACCATGGGCTGCACAAGCCCTGGTGATCCCTCAGCTACATGCTCTTGTCATAGGTGAGTCGCCCTGGCAAGCAACGGGGACATATCAACTTGTCAGCCACCTTGACTGAATCCTGCACCTGATACAAATCGAACCCGCTAAATGTGGAAAAACTCAAACAAAACAACCTTTGGTGGTGATTTTTGGTGTATTGTGATAATGAGGCTAAAAATGAAACGCATGAACAGCGATATGTGTTAAATTCAGTACATATGAACCATCCCCTAGGCATCAAAATCCTTGAGGGGAGTCAGTTGAGAAATGCAGTATGCTCAGTAGCTCTCAGGCATTCCTTAGCAGAAGGAACAAGCTATTTGTAATGCAGATTTCCTCAACTTCCTCACAAGATTTCACAGACTGTGTGTCCTCTGCAAGCCTCACAGGGAGCAGTATTTCAACTGTCCCCACTGGATTAAAAGAAACGACTTGACTAATAATACACTGTGTACCTCGAGAATTATTTTCCAGTAGACAGCAGAATGGCTGACAGGAGAGTGAGCTATTGCACTCTATTGGGAGAGGGGATGAGTATTAGTATAAGAAGACAGTAGAAAGCTATGCCATACTGTGCAGCTCTATCCCTTTACTCTTCATAGCTACATTAAACAGACAGTTCCTGAAAACTCTAAGGGTATGCCTAGGGATAACGAATGAGAGAAGCAACTGGCCCGAGGGGCAGACTCTATGGAAGATAGTTATCTTTGGAAATATATGAAGGTATGCAGGTGCAGGAGGTGGCATTTGCTAGTGTGAAGAATGACTAAGACTGCCTTAGGTTTTAACAGCTAAGCTGTTTTTCCTTTGACCTGTGTTAAGTAGATTAGTTCAATTAAGCTGCTTTTAGTTCTCAGATGTGAACCAGATATGTGAACACAGCTCTACGTGCCATCTGTAATCAAGGCAGAACTGGTTAGCATCATCTTACAGATACAATTATCATCAAGGATGGTGTGTGTTGTCTTAACTCAAAACCAAGTATTTGGGGGAGGAGGGGCTGTGTGAGAGATCCGGACAACCACATTTTTCAGCTCCTTCCCTGCACTTGTTGAATACATATATTGCAATGGGCACACCCAGCTTGCCTGCTGCTTAGGATTGTTTTGAAAAACATGGCACCAATTTCACATGAACCTTCATAGGTGTCAAGTGCAGCAGCAGGTACCCAAATTTTAATTCAGCCTCATACTCAGACAGCTAAGTACTGTCTTCATCATTGCATTTTCTACCATGCAATGACAAGGGATGTGGTAACTCCACACGTTCAAAGGGCATCTGATTTACACAAGTGCCCACTAGTCTAGTGCCCTGCCCCTTTGGTATAAAAATGGCAATGTGTTATTTGGGGAACCTGGAGAGATTCTTCCCCTCCCAACCTATCTGTTTCCTCACTCTGAACATTCACTACTATCTAGGCAAGACAATGCACCTTCCCCTCATCTCCATATTGCTCTCTGGTTTGCATGACCAGCTTACTGCTTACTAACTAATGTGTTCACCTTGGTCTGTGGCGCCAAACCTCTGTGTAGCTTCCTCTCCTCTAGGAGTTTCATAAATAAATTGCTCGTAAAATGGCAACCTAATGCTGCCACTTGTGATGCACTTGAACGCCTCAGTCCTGCTCGTGGTGGCACATGGATATGGGTGAAGGCATGCACTCGGCCTGTTCAGGCCAAGACAAGGACTATCAGTCTCGGTGCCAAACCCCTAGAACTTCTGCCTCAGATGGTCATGGATGTTGCCCTAGGGCACAGAGTCTGGAATCCTACTGATAAATACATGAAGTTAGTCCAAGATTCTGATGCCGTGTATGTTGGTGCATGGCATGTGAGACAGATGGGAACGCTCACATATTTTAAACAGTGACTTTCCTTAAATTGGCCTGATTATAGGAATTTTTGAAATAGGAAAGGGAGCCCCTGAGAGATTGGTGCTGAAGAAAATCTATTTGTTCCTCATACAGGGGAGACATTGTTTAAGAACTCTTCAGGCTTCCCTGTAGATTACTACCCCACTCTAGATAATGATGTCCAGCTCAAGAGACAGTGACCACAAGTAGCAAGACTTGGCAGAATTCCTCAAGCATACTAACTACATGAAAGCAATTATTACAGAGGGAAGACAAAGTCATCTGACTAGCTAAGGAGATATAATGACAAGCTACAATAGGATAGGCATAAGTGACAGTTTCATTAGGTTATGAGGAGTTTTTATAAAAAGTAACCCAAACCTCTGCCTATATGTTGAACTGAAATAATACTTTAGGAAAAGTTTGCTTGGAAACTCCTTGATCTTCCTTGAGGGAAGTCTAAAATGGTGTAAGTGTGTCTACAATCTATTCAAAAGATTCCCCCTGGCTAGCATACACCAAATGACATTAGAAGGAAGCGTGATAACTAGTTACTGAAGCAAAATTAAAGTTGTATTTCAGATTATTAAACTGTTGGCATTTGCACATTCCATTAAAAACAAACAGTAAGAATTTCAGGATGAAAGTATGGTACATGAGAAGCAGAGCTAATCCTTCCCGTGGTTAAAAAGTTTTTATAAAATTGGTGTTTCACCATGGCCTCTGATACAACATAAACAAAAATTTTTTTTTTTTTTATATAGGAAAAAATAATTCTGCAAGTCACATCTGTTCATCAACCTTCCTTAAAGACTGAGCTTTATTATTAAAACAGAAAAGGACATAGCAACACTAGTCAGTACAAAGCACTGGAACATACACCACACAGACTGATACTGCTCTGGAATGAGGCATGGTCTAGATGACCTATGAGGTCATTTCTGTCTCTGAGTGTAAGAGATGTTATTTATGCAGACAAGTTACTAAACATCCTACATTAGATCAATGAATTCCCAATCTACGTGGCTGGAGACCAGACACATGGTTTTTCACCTCAGTATTAACTACAAAGGGTTAAGCATGGGCTTTTTCAAAAGCTCTCAGCAATGGCTTAACTCTGCTCCAATGGTTAGGTTGATGTTAGGTGCTTTTGAAAAATCCCACGTTCAGGGCATTCCTTTTTGGTAGTGGTGGCAGTGATCCTCTCAATTGCCAAATGTATTAGACAGACAAACTGTGTCTTACTTGGCCGAATGGCTTTTGGGACAGTTTGTACTTCAAGCTAAAACTGATTGCAAAGGGAAATAATTTACCCTAGCTAGATATTTACAAGCACCATCACAAACATGAATGAATGTATCCTCACAACACCCTGTGAGAAGTTGACCACCCCTTTTATAACCAGTGGGGAATGGAGGTACAAAGATATTAAGCGACTCACTAAAGGTCACATAGGAAGTCTGGGGTGGAACCCAGAGCCCAGGCCACCGCTTTAACCATAAGACCCAGCCATCAGTGTTAATTTGTTTCTAAATAGGGATTGGGTGAGCTTTACAGCGTTTAGTTCAGGCAGACTACACAAACTGGATCCTGGATCATAGAATCATAGAATATCAGGGTTGGAAGAGACCTCAGGAGGTCATCTAGTCCAACCCCCTGCTCAAAAGCAGGACCCATCCCCAATTAAATCATCCCAGCTAGGGCTTTGTCAAGCCTGACCTTAAAAACTTCTAAGGAAGGAGATTCCACCACCTCCCTAGGCAACGCATTCCAGTGTTTCACCACCCTCCTAGTGAAAAAGTTTTTCCTAATATCCAACCTAAACCTCCCCCACTGCAACTTGAGACCATTACTCCTTGTCCTGTCCTCTTCCACCACTGAGAATAGTCTAGAACCATCCTCTCTGGAACCACCTCTCAGGTAGTTGAAAGCAGCTATCAAATCCCCCCTCATTCTTCTCTTCTGCAGACTAAACAATCCCAGTTCCCTCAGCCTCTCCTCATAAGTCATGTGTTCCAGACCCCTAATCATTTTTGTTGCCCTTCGCTGGACTCTTTCCAATTTTTCCACATCCTTCTTGAGTGTGGGGCCCAAAACTGGACACAGTACTCCAGATGAGGCCTCACCAATGTCGAATAGAGGGGGATGATCACATCCCTCGATCTGCTCGCTATGCTCCTACTTATACATCCCAAAATGCCATTGGCCTTCTTGGCAACAAGGGCACACTGTTGACTCATATCCAGCTTCTCGTCCACTGTCACCCCTAGGTCCTTTTCCGCAGAACTGCTGCCTAGCCATTCGGTCCCTAGTCTGTAGCTGTGCATTGGGTTCTTCCGTCCTAAGTGCAGGACCCTGCACTTATCCTTATTGAACCTCATCAGATTTCTTTTGGCCCAATCCTCCAATTTGTCTAGGTCCCTCTGTATCCTATCCCTGCCCTCCAGCATATCTACCACTCCTCCCAGTTTAGTATCATCCGCAAATTTGCTGAGAGTGCAATCATTCATGGTGATTGGCACCAGCCCTCTGGTGCAAGTTATCTTGTAGGTTCAAGTTCCACAGAGCCCCTCCTGCCATGATCCAGAAACAGAGGGCATCCCACAATGCATTGGGCACTGATACTCAATAGCTGCCACAGTAGGAATATGGGTTGCTACCTGCCACTGATTCAGTAAAGTGTGGCGACTGCAGCAGGACAGTGTTTCTCCTCACTCAGTGCCCTAATGAGGCAACATGGCAGTTGCTTTTCACTAGCCTTTGGTTTAGAGGTAGCAGTGGCCTTCACTTAGCATTCTCCCAATGCCAACCTGCCACATAAGGGAGCAGGTGTCAGGCAATCCATGAAGACTGGTGCAGGGGTCAGGCCAGTTCTGTATCCCTCACCCCAATAACCAGGTGAGATTTGGAGAAGCTAACAAAAGGCTGGTGCATGGCTTCAGAAATTGGCTGTGGGAACTACATCTGCCCTGCTATGACCAACATTCACCAGCCTGTGTTGCTGATTGAGGTTGTGCTATCACCTCAAACCCATCTTGGTCTCAGGCAGATGCAGGCTTCTGTGCAAACCTTTTAGTTCTAAGTAGGGCTGTCGATTCATGCACTTAACTCAAAAAATTAATCGTTATTAAAAAAAATTGAGATTAATCACAGTTTTAATCACACTGTTAAAAATAGAATACCAATTGAAATGTATTAAATATTGTGGATGTTTTTGTACATTTTCATATATATTGTATTCTGTGTTGTAACTGATATCAAAGTGTATATTATTTTTGATTCCAAATATTTGTACTGTAAAAATGTTGAAATAGTATTTTTCAATTCACCTCAGACAAGAACTGTAGTGCAATCTCTGTTGTGAAAGTGCAACTTACAAATGTAGATTTCTTTCGTTACATAACTGCACTCAAAAACAAAACAATGAAAAACTTCGGAGCCTAAAAGTCCACTCAGTCCCACTTCCTGTTCAGCCATTCGCTAACAGAAATAAGTCTGTTTACTTTACAGGAGATAATATTGCCCTCTTTTTATTTACAATGTCACCAGAAAGTGAGAACAGGCATTTGCATATCATTTTTGTAGCCTGCATTGCAAGGTATTTACGTGCCAGATATGCTAAACATTCGTATGCCCCTTCAGGCTTCAGCCACCATTCCAGAGGACATGCTTCCATGCTGATGATGCTCGTTAAAAAGATACTGTGTTAATTAAATTTGTGCCTTGGGGAAGAACTGCTATGTCCCCTGCTCTGTTTTACCTGCATTCTGACATATATTTCATGTTATAGCAGTCTCGGATGATGACCCAGCACATGTTGTTCATTTTAAGAACACTTTTACTGCAGATTTGACAAAAGGCAAAGAAGGTACCAATGTGAGATTTCTAAAGATAGCTACAGCACTCAACCCAAGGTTTAAGAATCTAAAGTGCCTTCCAAAATCTGAGAGGGATGAGGTGTGGAGCATGCTTTCAGAAGTCTTAAAAGAGGAAAATTCTGATGCAGAAACTACAGAACCTGAACCACGAAAAAAGAAAATCAACCTTCTGCTGGTGACATCAGATTCAGATAATGAAAATGAACTGCTTTGGATTGTTATTGAGCAGAACCCGTCATTAGCATGGACACATGTCTCCTAGAATGGTAGTTGAAGCATGAAGGGACATATGAATCTTTAGTGCATCTGGCACATAAATATCTTGCAAAGCCAGCTACAACAGTGCCATGAGAATGCCTGTTCTCACTTTCAGGTGACATTGTAAACAAGAAGCTGGCAGCATTATCTCCTGCAAATGTAAACAAACTTTTGTCTGAGCGATTGGCTGAAGTAGGACTGAGTGGACTTACAGACTCTAAAATGTTATATTGTTTTATTTTTGAATGCAGGTTTTTTGTACATAATTCTACATTTGTAAGTTCAACTTTCATGAAAAAGAGATTGCACTATCGTACTTGTATAAGGTGAATTGAAAAATACTATTTCTTTTGCTTTTTTACAGTGCAAATACTTGCAATAAAAAATAAATACAAAGTGAGCACTGTACACTTTGTATTCTGTGTTGTAATTGAAATCAATATATTTGATAATATAGAAAACATCCAAAAATATTGAAATAAGTGGTATTGTATTATTGTTTAACAGTGCAATTAGTCGTGATTATTTTTTTTAAATTCATCATGAATATTATCATCTGGTGCCCCCTATGGATACACAGAAATCCCTCTCTCCTGACTTGTTCTCTGCTGATCCTTCTCTATCAGCATTCAGTTAGAGCAGTGGTGCCCAAATTTTTCCTGTCACGCCCCCCTTACCAGTAATGGAATCTGTCCATGCCTCACCCCTTACTGCACAGCCAAGACTTCCTCAGCAGAGGAGCTTGGGCTGAAGGCGGAGCTGGGGCTAGAGGCTGAGTTGGCCTAGGGGTAGAGCGGAGCGGAGGATGGGGCTGGTGTGGAACTGCAGCTGGGGCCGGAGCTGGGCTGGGGGTGGAGTAGAACTGCGGTTGGGGCCGGAGTTGGGCTGGGGGCAGAGCGGGGCTGGGTGGCACTCCCTCCCCATCCTCCATGGGGGCTGGCATGGGCTCTGCCGCTCACCCTCCTGAATGTTCCTGTGCGCCCTCGTATGCAGGTATGCCACGCAGCCTGGGGACCACTGAGATAGAGAAATGGCTAAAAAAGCAAAATCTTTTATTCCTTTGAACATGTTTTCAGGCTGCACTTTCAATAACTGGGTATTAGTCTCAGATATAATGTATGGAGGGCAATTTGGGTAGAATTCTGGTTTTCTGAATTGTGCAATGGAAGAACAGGATGCCCTCTTTTGTTTGCAATGTATTTAAATTTAATCCAGACCTGAAAAAAATACGAAAAAGACAAGAAATTCTCTCTTCCTGATAGATATGGGTCCAAGAATGTGAAGTACATATACTAAGATACTCAACACGTACATACCATTTCAAATATTTCTGAAATAAAAATAGTGTCTAAGAAGACAAAAATACTTTACGAAATCAGTGTTTACAGTTCAAGTGATTTGTCCATAAACAATTATAAATTAAATTGGCTTCCAGTTTTTTAAATAGTTTGGCAAAGTATATTTGCTATGGCATATTTTCCTGCAGAGAGAATGGCATGTACAGTCACGGCAGAGAAATCGGAATGTGTGTATTCACTGTATGAAAGGTTTTACGAAAACCTTTCCCACTCCTTTGTTAACGCACAGCTCATGATGGCATACTTTTGTATAACTGTGTGCTAATCTACATGGTGTGTGCGATCCCATTCAATTCCAACATGAGAGTAGCAGTACAGGAATCCAAGAACAGACAGAGTTGCCCAGGGCCAGCCTGTGAATAGAAAGAAAGGTAATACTTAGTCAGAGTAATTAATCTAGTTAATGAACACAGCAAGTGGACAGCAATATATCAAGAAACATGTGTCTGGGCTTGAACGTTTGATGGGTTTACACGGATATTTTTGTTGAATATTTAATATGGGAGGTAACGCCAAGCCACAGAATTAGAAACCAGATCTGACATTTTCCAAATATCAGAGGTAGTTAGGTTTGGCTTGCTTTGTTATAGATCCAGGCTCTCCCAAACCTCAGGGGCAATGGGTGTAGGGTTTTGGGTTGGTTTCATCTCTATTTAATATCCAAAAAACAACGTGCCAAATTAAGCAGGTATGGTATAAACTTATTTTCTGCAGGTGACATTCACCCACTGAACTGAATCCTAGTAGAAAATTTACGTTGTGCACATCCTAAGCACAAAAGCGTACAAAGCCATAACATGATGACAAAGTAGTAACATGAGGATACAGGACAAACTGCTGCTCCCCCCAGCAGAAGTCTGGGCATTTACAATTAAATCTTATTACGATACTCAGATGCTTCCACATTGTCAGGGTCACTCACAACCGCAGGAGATCTACAGTGAAATACTTCCTTTTATTTTTTTGGTTCACAGATGTCAGACACCTACCTCCTATATTTTCAAAGAATTTCAAGGGGGAGGTGGGCTAGTTGTACTTCTATTTACCATTCTCTTTAATGATAATCATGACTCTCGGGGAGACTGTGAGTAGAGCTGTGGAAAGTATTTGCACTGAGCCTTGAACTCTTTCAGAACGAACCTTGGGTTGGAGGTTTGACATGTTCCCAAACTCGTGTCTTTTACAACAACATAGCTATCTTGTTTTAGCTATCTTGTAAAATTCTAACAAAAACAGGGCAAGTATTACTTTTACCTTGAGCTGGTCAAAGCAAACCCTGGGGAGCTGGCAGAGGTGTCTAAGGTTTACCTTGACCAGCTACATACAACACGTTATCTATCTTATAAGATACACTTTTATTTCTAGTGAAGACACAGCCAAAGATGGGCTGTGAGTTTCACCTAAGTATATCCTGCAAATCCCACTCAGCCAACCTCCTTTCCCCACAAAATTGGGAACTGTCTCCCCATCTCTCCATGGTCTTTATATACAAATCATTATGTGTTCTCCTTGAAGATCTGAACTCATTTAACTCCCACCTGCAAGTAAATCTGTAGGGACTGGATCACTTTCACCCTGAAAAGTGAAACTGCAGGCTTCACACCATCCTAACTGTGATGTCCTTGTTTCTCAGTAAAATATAAAACACAATATAATACTTGAAACTTACATAGTACTTTCCATCTTCCAGACACTTTACAAATATTAACTGACAGATCTTTACAACACTCCTGCGGAAAGTGAGGCTCTGTTTTTACTGCAAAAAGCTATGTTCTTTTACACTGAGATAACGAACTCCCTATAAATTCCTATTGGAAACAAGGCACTGTACCTTCTACCACACTGCAGCTAGTCAACCCCTACCTGGGGTTAACATTGACTAGCTACATTGAAAAACTACCGGTGCCTTGTCTCCACTAGGATTTTCCATCAAAAGAGCTATCTTGGTGTAAAAAAGCCTCATCTCTTTTGCAATGAACACAAAGCCTGAGGCAGAAGGGTTAAATAGCCACACAGGCAAGATTTTTAAAGGTATTTAGGTGTCTCAAGATGCAGGAAGGGGTGCCAAATGGGATTTTCAAAAGCACCTAAGGTGCCTAATGCCCATGAGTTAAGGCACCTAGGCACCTAGTGGGATTTTCAAAAGCACTGATTTGCATCTTTAGGAACTTAAATACCACAACAAATCTGGCCAAGGGAGACTGAGAGCTTACTGAGCCCTACTCATCTTCATAGCACAGTACACCACACCCTAAATTAATAAGGCTTTGGCTAGGGAATGATCACAGGGAAAGGCAAAATAGACTGATATGTAGTGAAAACCTCTTACACAGAACATTAATTATAGTGAAATTCCACCTACGGGCAAGTGGAGTGAGTCTTGAATTGTTTCACTTTATTTCACTGGGCTGAGGCAAGGGGCTGGGATGTGGGAGAGGGTATAGGCTCTGGGGTGGGGCCAGAAATGAGGGGTTCAGGGTGAGGGAGGGGGCTCTGGGCTGGGGCAGAGGTTTGGGGTGTGGGGGGATGGGTGAGGCTCCAGCTTGGGGTGTGAGCTTTGGGGTGGGTCTGGGAATGAGGGGTTTGGGGTGAGGAGGGGGCTCTGGGCAGGGAGTTGTGGGGTGAGCACTCCAGCTGAGGTTGCAGGCTCTGGGGTGGGGCAAGGGATGAGGGGTTTGGGGGGGCTCAGGGCAGCGGGTTGGAGGTCAGGAGTGGGGTGTGGGCTTGCCTTGGGTGGCTCCCAATCAGTGGTGCTGCAGGGCTAAGACAGGCTCCCTGCCTGTCCTGGTTCTGCCCTGCGCCACGGAAGCAGCCAGTAGGTACAGCTCTTATGCACAGGGGCTAGGAGGCTCTGTGCACTGCTCTCGCCCACAGGCACCGCCCCCCAGCTCCTATTGGCCGGAAACTGTAGTCAATGGGAATGCAGAGCCAGTGCTCGGGGCGGGGGCAACACGTGGAGCCCCGAGGCCCCCCCACCTAGTTGCCGGACCTGCGAGCCGCTTCCGGGGCTCAGCGCGGTGACAGCAAAGGTAGGGACTAGCCTGCCTTAGCCCCTGCAGCACCAGCGACCGGGCTTTTAACGGCCCAGTCAGTGGTGCTGACCAGACCCACCAGGGTCCCTCTATGACGGGGCGTTCTGGTCGAAAACCGGATTTCTGGCAACCCTACTTTCACTCCACTATAACTAGGTCGGTGGCTACCCTCTCAGAATGCTGCCATTTTTACCTACCCAAAAAACAGGTATTAAGGACTGCATTACAAGGGATCGTCCCATCCTGCTCCACTTTTGCTCTAACTCAGCTGTAAAAGGGGGGCGGGAGGGGAAAACAAAATGCAGCTACCATGGTGGGGGAAAGGGGAAAGAAGAATTTCTGGCTCACAGTGATGGAGGAGATGAGGGTGGAGAGAAGAGGAATGAGTCTCGCTTCAGCTGCTCACTGCTGAGAGTGAAGATAGGGCCTCCCAAAGTATGTGCGCGCACACCCTGCCAACCCACACACACACCACTAGTGCTCCCTGCAAATGTAGGAGGCATCGCCCATCTGGTGAAGTGGAGGGGATCTCTTGTCCTCTGCGCTCTCCTTGTTATCATACAATGTAGCATACAGTGGAAGTTGTTACTGGGGAAAAGCCCTTTATGATGAGATGTTTCCACTACAGATATAAAATATAGAAACAAAAGGAGCCACATTCTGCTGCCATTTACACCCATATAAATCCAGAGTAATTGCATTCCAGTCCCTGGAGCCACTCTGGATTTACTTGGGTGTGTCTAAGAGAATTTTGTAGGTATACAATCTAAATATGGTGAGTAGCCTGGAACAAGCAAAAGGCCTTTCGAACACTGTCTTTATTTCAACATCTGCATCTACAATTTTTGTGAATACAAAATAAACACCTTCAAAAACAAACAAAAAAACAAACCTCATAATAACTCGACAGATTTTAAACCTTAGGAAACCGAAAAAAAGGGACACAGGATGTGATTTGCACTTTTCAAAGTTGCTGGTAAAATCCAAGAAAAGTTACCTTCGCTTCAGCACTAACCAGAACAAAAATAAGTAGAGCATGCATCCTTGGCTCCACTGTGGTCCCATACATCTCAAGAAGGCACTTTGTAATGTCAAGAGTTCTGTTTAGATTTGTAACTAAAGAGTAAAAATCCAACAGGTGGGGGAAAAAACGGTTACCTACCTTTCGTAACTGTTCTTTGAGATGTGTTGCTCATTTCCATTCCATGCTAGATGCATGTGTGCTGCATGCGCGGTTACCAGAGATTTCCCCCCAGTGGTATCCATAGGGCCAGCTCTAGCATCCCCTGAAGGCCCACACTCATGCACTGGTATAAGGGGCACCGCTGGCCCTGCGCCCTTTCAGTTCCTTCTTGAACCAACTCCAATGGCAGGGTAGGAGGGTGGGTCATGGAATGGACATGAGCAACACATCTCGAAGAGCAACAGTTACAAAAGGTAGGTAACTGTTTTTTCTTCTTCGAGTGCTTGCTCACGTCAATTCCATGCTCGGTGACTGACAAGCATTATCCCCGGAGGTGGGCTAGGAGTTCTGGGGCGTACCAACTATAACATAGCTTTCCTGAAACTGGCATCATCTGTGGCCTGTTGGGCGATGGCATAGTGGGACATGAATGTGTGGACTGATGACCATGTAGTGGCCCTACAGATGTCCTGTATCGGTATTTGCACCAGGAAAGCTGCTGAAAGCTGCTTTCTTGCACTCTTGTAAAGTGGGCCTTCACAATGACTGGAGGTGGGGTCCCCTCCTGTTCGTAGCAGGCCCGGATACAGGCAGTGATCCAGGACGAGATCCTCTGGGCTGATACTGGGAGAGCTTTCATCCTGTCCGCATCTGCAACAAAAAGCTGCGTCAATTTGCAGAAGGGTCTTGTTCTGTTGATATGAAAGGCTAGGGACCTTCTAACGTCCAGAGAATGCAGATACCATTCTTATTGTGTCTTGTGCGGTTTCGAGAACAAGACAGGTAAAAAGATGTCCTGGTTGATGTGAAATTGCGACACCATGGTGGATAGAAAGGCCGGGTGGGGATGCAGTCGGATCTTATCTTTAAAGAAAATGGTAACGGGAGTCTCCAAGGTCAAACTTGAAGCTCTGAAACCCTTTTTGCAGAAGTGATTGCTACCAGGAAAGCGACTTTTTACGAGAGAAGCAGTATGGAGCATGATGCCAAAGGCTTGAAAGTTGGCCTCGTGAGCCTAGGCAGGACCAGGTTTAAATCCCAGGGCAGAATTGGGTCATGAACTTGTGGGTACAGCTTCTCCAACCCTTTAATGAATCTGCTTGTCATCTCCTGAGCGAAGACTGATTTGCTTGGATCG